TTTGACAACATAAGTAGAATAACTAATGTAACAAGACATTTCAACATGATTTTGAAGTCAACTACTACTACTATTTTGATAAAAGATTTGGCTAATATAGACGTTGTTAATTTTAACGATATTCTCAATTAATTACCTATAATTGTTTAAAGTAAATGATCTATTTATAGGATTGTGAAATTGGTTTAATTGATTTAAATTCACCATGTTATTTGCTTAATCGTTGTTAAAATACATGAACTTTAGATTTTCTATTTTTTAAATCTAAGTAAAAGTATACATTATCTATCATTTGTCACATAATGTAAAATTGTTCCGTTTAACTTTAGTTGCATGCTCATATACGGGCATGTTCCTAGTGCCCCAATTTAGGGTAATTATTAGTGCTATCAAAAAACGAATGTAAGTGTCATGGGTTCTTTGGAGGTCAAACGTAACATAGTAAAATAATTTTTTTAAAATTTTTGCTTGCTTGTGTCAACAAAGCCTACATATAGTGGTCTTTTAACTTCTTCTGTTCTTTAGTCCACGACCTCAAACAAGCCACAAAATTTGAGATATCAGGTGGTAGTTGCCATACAGGGTTTTCGCACCTCTTTTAAGTAGAGGCATAAGAAAAATGGACCAGATTTTTTGGCACAGGGTGTAAAAAATGTCAACACCTCTCGCTCCCATTGCTTGTATTATTTATGCTAGAATGACTTCGTAGCCTGCTGCCTTGTTTGGTTTAAGTTTGTTAATAGCCAGTTCTATTTCTGCTTTTAGGATGGAAGTTTCATCCATTGTTCTGTTGCTAGTGATTCATTCTATCTTGGAATAGGCTTTCACAATATTTCCTCCAGGTTTCTAGAACATCATTCAAGTTCGTGACCATGTCTCCGGTTTTCCTCATTATATCCCATGGTCTTGGAGAGAATTTGCGTTTTATTTACTTTACTGATTAGAATAAGCCTCGAGTGTTATTGTGTTAAGAATGGTGTTGCTCTTCGACATATATGTTTTGGAAATATTTATTTTTATCTCTTCTGCATCGTCTTTGTGCCTTCTATACTTCTGAGTATACGCCTTTCATTGACTATTTCAAATGTTTCAGTCCACATCCAATATTCGTGTTTTTTCGGTGGTTTTGATATATTTAGTTTCTATTAAGATAGTCTCAGTTATTTGGCGGTTTGTGTTTATATATTGACGGCTAGCGACTGTTGTAAACAAGTTTTCGTGGAAGGTATTTTCATTCTCGATTGCGAGCCTTGGTATCTTGCGCTGGTGTGGTTTCTGTAATTTTATGTGAAATGGGAGTGGACGTACATTATAGGCTAAAATAGATAAATAGACATGCCAAATGTGCATAACGGTTAGCCGAAATCATCACACTTCGCAGGTTAAAACAAATTCAGAAAAGACGTAGATACCGCAGGTAGATGGTACAATGCGAAAACATTAATATCGGCTTTTTCGGAAACCTGGAGACTGAGCTATAGATCTGAAGAAAATATTTGAATAGGATGGGTGATGATCCATTTAGGTCTTGGTCGGGTTTGCTTTAGACACAGTCGGAAAAAATGTATTTAGATATCACAGTCTCCTTAAAAACAGATTGTTTCTAAAGATCATCACACTATTTGTCAGCCTCCTAAGCAAACAAAAAGGAATCAAATTCCTCATATTTTCATCCAACTTTCTAAATTCAGCAACTTAGGACTGATCTTCTTAAAGGGCTTTATACAACACGTTTCCAATAAGTAACTGATTGAAACAAAAATAATGAGTAGTAATCAGAAACGTTAGAGAGACACATAGCCATATAATTTTTTACATGTTTTAAGATTTAGTTTCTTAACACGATGTGATATTTTGTGTTTGACACCTGCTGAACGAGAATTATAGGTTTATCTCAAAAACACATATTATATTAACTTCCTGTATGCACGAGGTGTTTCGCGAGGACAGAGAAATCTTTTGGAAAAACGTCCAGGGGGTCAAAATAAAACGATTAAACTCATACGGTTTAATCGATTCTCAACCGTTTCTAAAATAATCGGATATAACGTTTCCTGTGATAACAAATAACTGAAATCAAATAATTGTGATATAAACAACAAAATTAACTTAATTTAGAATATATTCCAAAATATCTTCGCCAACTTCAAAATGACGTACGCTGTTAATTTCTCGTATTGTGGTTTCTACTACAATACAACAGCAAGCAGCTTGAAGTGAAAATTCGATTGGGTAGTCCTAAAACGGTTTCTATTATTGTTTCGCATATATTGATTTCATCCACCACCAAAGGCAATAATCCCGTGGATTTAAGACGAGTTATCTCGGTGGGCAAGCATGAGATCCTCATTTGCCAATCCAACGATCACAGAAAAAAAAAGACTAAAATAGGTCGGACCTGAAAGTACGAGTACATTCATTGTTGAAAAATTTGCGACGCCTTGTCCATCATGTTCGTTAAAAAGTCTTCCAAAAACCGAAAATATTCATCTCTCGCACGACGTCGATTCAATACAAACGGACCAAACAACTGGTCCTTGAGCTTTCCACACCACACGCTAAACTTGAACCGATGTTTAAAGTTTCTGTCATACATGAAGATTTTCATCGAACCACCCATTTTTATCGTAATAGCTATTGATTCCATCGCGAGAGAAGTGTGCTTCATCAGTAAATAAAATGTATCTGTGTAGGTCTCGATTTTGTTGGATCCATGCACAAAATTTAACTCTCAAGTCATAATCGCCTTCTTGAAGACTTGAATATGTTGAACGTTTAAATAGGTCTGGGTAACATTGTGCTAGAATTAGTTTAAGATTATTGGCCGTGTAGATGTGACACATTTTGTGCAATCAAAAATACACATGATTTGTTCTAAAGAAGAATAATATAAGTATGGCCGATAAAGCAAGTAACTAGTATCAATAGCTCCACCCTAGGCTCAAGAAAAGTCTATTAAACATCTAGTTGAGCAAGTAAAGTGAGTCAGCGACAAAAGCCTATTTCATCACACACTGTGTACTTTTCAACAGGCTGGAAAACCAGAAAGTGCCCAAAGAGTACATAAAACTTATAAAATATATGAACACAAACACAACGCAAATTGGAACAAGCTAGGGCGTCTGCCAAGGCGATAGCCTTAGCCCCCTACTGTTCAATAAGGTTATGGACCAACTAATAGAAACCGTACGGAACGTGGGATTAGGATATCGCATGGACGCACATAAACTTGACATATTATGCTATGCCGACGACGCCGTACTCATCGCGGAATCAGAAGACAACCTACAAAGAATGTTACACGCGTTTAACAAACACGAAAAGAAATTGAACATGGAGATTTCTAACACAAAGATCAAATGCATGACCGTACCTAGGAAACATCTGCGCTGTAAGCTAGCATACCATCGTCGACCAAACCATGTCGTTCGAGTACCTAGGATGCAAGATAACAAGCACAGCATTCTTGGATTAGAGGTGAGTAAGCAAACAAACAAACAAAGCAGCCACAATATCGGGACATCCTAAACATATAATATGGAAAAATAAATACCTCAATACAAACATGCGTGCGACCTATTATGACATACGGGGCAGATACAAGAGCGGAAACATCAGTAAGAAAGAGTATATAAAGAATAACCGTGATGAAAGTCCTAAGAAGAATAACGGGATATACATTGAACGACAGACAGAGAAGCATGGACATAAGAGCAAAGTGCCATACTGACGACATGGTGAGATGGATAAGAAAGAGAAGAAGAGAATGGAATCTGCATGTAACAGAATGGATTACGACAGACTGGTCAAAATCGTACGTAACAACAACCCACACGGAAGGAGACCTGTTGGACGTCCACCAAAGAGGTGGCGTGACAGTTGGCAATCAACTTCACAGGAAGTGCCGCAGATAAATCGAAACTGAATAGGCGGTACGCCTTCTATTCGAATATGATGGTGGTGATGATGTTGATGATGACACTGTGTTCTGTGAAGCTTTTGTGTTGATCTCGCTCTGTGCGTTAATATGTTTTAACACCTCGCGTCTTACTGGCCTACAACAGATCGTCTGTTATGTCCCAAAATTTATCGTATTATGAGTTTCCGGCATCACATGTGTTGACGCGTTGTATTGACGGCACTAGCCGGTATCAGTGCGTCAACATCCGTAATTGCACTGTGTTCCCCACGCTTACTTGGAAAGGCTTTAAACCCCTTTTTCTAAAGGTCTTTTAAACGGCCATAGAAAATTGTATTTGAAGTTTATCTCTAATCCGACTCGTACTAGCACCTGGTTTCTCTTCAGCCATATCCAGAACATTCTCTTCATTTTCCGCATGTAAACCCTCCTCTCGTTCAGAATCAATCCTTATGCTTCAAAAAATTCCAGTTTCTAGGACACAAAAACTAATGTTAAAAATGAGAAACACCTTAATTTCAGAAACAGCTGAGAATCGAATTAAACCATAAGGGTATTTATCTTGTTTTGACCTCCTGAACGCATTTCCAAAATATTTCCTTTTCCTCCCAAAACACCCTATATGAATATAATACTTTGCAGCTATTTCCAGATATCAATACGGACCGCACAATTTCCTTGTGCTCAATTATTTGCAAAATCTCCCATTTATTTATTGCTTATTTAAGTAATTCCATTAGTTGAAAACACTTCTTGTGAAGAATTATTGTCACCCGTTATTTAATAAAACAAAATAATGGCAAGTGTCGTCCTGAACACGGAAAGATAAACACTGTAAATATCATCTGGTTATTTTTTCATTTGTCAACAGCAGACGATTGTTGGATATTAGAAATTTTACTTTTGAGCCTTTACACTCTTCAGCACATTTTCATGTCTTTTATCATTCGCATGCCATCTTCCCTGTTTCATATTTAGGCGCGGATTTTTCCGTTTTTATAACTTTATCTTCTGGTTTTACAATTTAAAAAACTTTTCCAACTCAAAGTAATTAATACTGATACACGTAAAACAGATACTGTGAAGTAAACTGCGTTTTATTTTCTTTTATGAAAAATACGGCGATTTCATTCCACTACTAAAACTTAGCTCTAAAAAATTTTTAGCTCTTGATAGTGAACTACTCTCATTATTTTTCTTCTTCTAATTTTGTCTCGAGGATGCAACAACATCAGAATCATTTTCTGATGGAGTACAGAAATCCTCCCATTGTGTATAAGAACCTGGTAACCTGCAAAACGCAATATATTTTATATATATATACGAATAATACATACTAACTGTTCGATAATGTCACTGTCGTACTATACCTTTTTATAGAAACTATAGTTTGCATCAAATAGCAGTAATACAGATACAGGCATTCCTTTCAGACAATTCGTAATTAATATCAAATAAGACAGTTGACATGGTTTGTTCCAATTATACCACTTTAAATTCAGAACTGCGTCAGACAGGTTGGCACTCTAGAAGATATAAATAATTAATACTTTGTTAACAATTAAAAGCGCAATATATTTTGATATTTTATATTTAGTTGGACTTTTTAATAGTTTGTTAACAGTGAATAAGTACACATACTGAACTTAACTTAACTTAATTTAATATAATGATGGCTAAATGTTCCAGACATTTATATGCATCACTCAAAAGAAAATTATTTTATTGAATTACCATAGACACACTAATTTTAAATTTAATTCAATTTATTTAAATTCGGTTTAATTTACTAAAAACACTAAATATAGGGTAATAAAACACTTTGGCAGTACAGGAAAAATAACAAAAACATTAACCAAAATGTTAATTTTAAGGTAATTTTATGCCCTGTATCGTATTAGAAATTAGAAATAATTAGAAAACGTTTAAATGGACAATGCACACTTTTAATTGACTTAACACCACTCTTTTCTACTACTTACAGCGTCTTCAAAGCACTGACTAACATGAGTGAGGGACATTGAAAATACAACATATGCAATCCACGTGGACAAACTTTTAATCAGTTTGAATGGTCGCTAAAATTAAAATAAAAACCTTATTAGAAGGCATAAGTTACTTTTGAAATAAGCTTACCGAAACTAGAGTACAAACAGCTGACAAACCAAAAATAACTCCAGAACAAATATACAACATATATAGCAGCTGCAATTGTTTAGCAAATGCATTGTTGTATCTGAAATAGACAATTTTAACAAATTTTCTCAAATTAAATAAAAAACAATTTAAACAAATACAAAAGCTGAACATTTTTTCAAATTTAAGCATAGCTTTTGTTTGATACAAATCTCTTGGTCAAAATAAAGTGATTGTGCTTTCAAATTTATGAAGCGAAGTATTGATAAATGTACGTTGTCCAGTTTTCTTAATATAGGTTTGGAATGTTGGCAAAAGAAAGCCAAACGTTTTCCTATGCGACTTATTTTTTTTTGCTTGACGTGTTCTTTACCTTTTAATAACGGAATGCTTTTCTACTATTATGGCTAACTTCGTCATCATATTTCTATAATATTCGTGATTTGTACTTTGAGTGGCAATCTCTGCAGAATTCATTGTGTCTATTGTGGTAACGTAGTAAGTTAGCATCATCAGTTTTACTTCCATGTGGAAATGAACGTACACAAAGTACATTGGAGACGCAACGGACGGAATAAATAACACTTCAGTTATGATAAATATCAAGCAGTACGCTACTTTAGTAAGTATTGAATCTAAAACAGAACTATTAGCGTCAAACTGAGTAACTAAGGTTTCGTTACCTTTGGAAACATATTTATGTAGTACTTCTATTGCCAGTAAAGAATCCTTATTTTGTAGCCAGTAATAATTACAAACGGAAAAGCATAAGATAGAGGCCATGCATAACATTTTAAATACAATTGAACACCTTGTTCGAGCAGAAAATATATTTTGCTTAGTTTGTGCGTCGACGTCTTCCAGGGAAACGTAAAATAATGATTTAAGAGTTTTCAAATTTATCATCAGCGCCTTCATCATTCTTGGGTATAACGATGTAATAATGCATGCCTGGAACATGCATTTCGGATTATTTCAAAGGTGTACATTGCCATAATGCATTTAACATCATAACTAGCAGAATCTTTTGTTGTCAATCACATTTAAAGTCTCATTTTGTAAATACTATAATTGAGTCGTTCTTAGCGATTCACTTGGAAAAATTTTATAGCGATAATAGCGTTTAAAAAATCAGGAATATACAGGGTGCCATCATCCGGGCCAGACGAACTATGGTTATTATCGATGTTGTTGCTCGTCCTCCTCTTTTCTCTTTCTCCTCTATTTAAGGGGACCCAAGGATTGGGACTAGCATAGCGAAGATAACATGTGTGGCTGAAATTAAACGAACGGAAGGAAGCGCAATTATCTTGAACTAGTAAAATGAATGCACCTTTTTTATTTTTACGTTTATTTATTGATGGGTCCACCGCTAAAATTTTGAAGAATTTTTAAACATCTCATTGACTTTGGTGGTATGTCATCAAACGCATGTTTTTTATGTATGATTGGTATTCTTTACTTCATTTTTTTTTGTTTTTTTAAGTATATTTTGCTCTCAAATTACCCTATATTAAATTTATCATGTTGACAAATAATTTGATAAATTACGCTTTCCGAATTTTAAGTTTTTCATGATTTTCGAACTTTGTTGCTTTCAAATTTTTGCTTCCAATTCTATGTTCAATGTTGACTATAAGTTCTAAAATTGTACTTGTTACATACTAATTTACTTTCATCTGAAAATCCCGCGATAAATGGACTGAAAAAGTTCTAAAATATTTATTTTCATTATGTTTTAATTTTGGATTTTCAATTTCATTAAAACGTTTGTTAAAAAAACTTTGATAATCATTATTGAAAAATTGTTTTTCTTTGGTAAAATCAGAATCACTATAAATTAGTTTTAGTTTATCATATAAAATTTTTTACAATCCTATTTTTACCATTTTCGGGTGATTGGTTAAAAATGAAATATCTATTTGTACATATTTTCTATATACAAAAGTTTTGAAATTGTCTAAAATTTTCTTGGTTGATTAGTATATCGAGTAATAAGATTAATTTGGTTGCTTTGTACCTTTCAATAGAGACTTAAATTTTGGATTATTTATTATTAAGATATCTGAAAAATTCATTAAACGACTTGTTCCCCATAACTATAATTGAAAAATTCATCAGCAATGTATCGAAATCAAATTATTGATTTGCGTGTATAATAATGACCGTGGGGTCGCCTTTTCATCTTTTTGCAGTAAAATAATCCTGGAAATTTTTGAAACAAATTTCATGAATAATTACAAATTTAAACCACAGATTTGGTGGCCAAATACTCAAGGTGTATTTTCAAGTTGTAATGACGGGGAACAAAAACGGAATATATTTTCAAATTATGTCATTCATGACTATAATCAAAACTATAAAGAACCACTATTAGAAAATAACAAAAGAACCAACTTTCTTTTATGAATAGTTATGGAAACTAATGGATTAGTAGACATTAATAAAGAAAATTTTTAGACTACTTCGACGATTTGGCATAGAAATACTACTCATACAAATAAAGTTTATGACTTTACCATTTTATAACAACTAAATTAAAATAATTGTGTTGCCTGATGTTCATTTAATTTAAACCTCACATGGTTATCTATGCGATAATTTGAAGTAGATCAGGAACATACACCTAAATTAAATTTCAGCAAAAGTTCTTCTTAAATTTTTTAACTTTTTTAAACAATTATAGGTACTTAAATCAAAGTGAAAGAATTGACAATTAAAAAAAAAACGAAGTCCGATCTATTTCTTACAGATTTGTATGCACTTAACCTTCTCAAAGAAATTATAAATATACTCTTTTTCAGGGCTCTTTTCAGAACGAAAGAAGACTTGCCATCGAAACGTTAAGGTAATTTTTGAAATACGTTTTTTAATTAATTAATTTAATGCGCCATCGAAGGTGAATCACCATGGATGCCGAGTATACTTACATAAAGAGACAAACTGTAACGCTCAGCATACTGAAGAAGGTCTGCATTGAACTTTTTTGTAAAATAGTATGTTTCTACGATAATGATGCATGCCGACACAAGCATAGTTAATTTAATCAAGTGCCTTGTAGATCGTGATAACATTATAAATTGGTACACATCTGGCAATAAGTTTACTGAAAAAATTGCATGAAAAATAAAAACACATGATAATCGAATTATTTTTCATGTTTATATATAACCCGTTTCTTAATAATTAATAACACTAAATAACATTACTTACTGGACACTTTATCAGACCACTCCATACCGTCTGAAAATTTACAAGTTGCTTTAGAACAGACGAATCAACCAATGCAAAAGTATCTATTCTAACAGATTTATAACAGTGATCAAGTCAATAGACAGCCACAATTATCTTAGTCTTTCGTCCTTTATCCGTTTCATGCTTGGATATAATTCAAACCTTTGATAGATTTACTGCAAGATAAACAATAGAACGCTTCAAGCTAATTGACAAAACATTAGTTCTGTAACTTTTGTAAGCAATTATTATATATATTTAGTTTTAGATTCGACCTCAAACTCAAGTCATTTCTGAGTTAGATAATTATATAAAAATAATGTTAGAACACGTTCTACTGGTAAGGAAACGGGGGAAAACTGGGAAAAAGAACGCAAAGAAAAAATATATCCTACTGTTTTTAATAATTTATAATTTTCTATCACATCTTGTGAGCATTCGTCTTAATAGACATGCTCTTAATAAGTCTCAAACGGCCCGTTTGAGTAATTTCTATACAAATTATCCCAAAACTGTATACTAGCTTTTTTAAAATTTCTATCGACTTTAAGAGCCTTTCCAATGTAGAGGTATTCTTGGTCAAATGTTTGTACTTTCGGCCACTTCAAATTTTGAAGGCTACTTTGTGGTTCCGGCGTAGGATTCCTACAGAAAGATTCAATTATCTTGCCAGCCTGTAAAACTTGAAAAAAATCTTACCCATAGGTGGCAAAATTTGTCCACAATTTAACTAGTCGCTCGGAAGTGAGTTCCTCTTCGGTATTCTGGAAAGTCTGTTTAGTCCAACCAGCTTTCCACAGGTACCAGAGCTCCGTTGCATGTGCAACCCCTTTAACTGAAAGACATTTTGAAGAAAATCATTATTTGCAATTGTTAAAATAGGCGTTACCATTATTGTTTTCTGCTGATCCAAATTCTAGCCAGAGTTTGCCCATAGCTCCTTCAAAGTCGTACACGTAAAAGTACACAGGAATATATTTTGACATTAACTGGGCAGTTTTGGTAATAGGACGAACAAATAAATCGTCACTAAAATACTGAAACAAATTTAAGTGGTTAGGTAGTTATCTAATTGTTTTGCAATTGGTTGTCAGTTAAATTGAGAAAAAAAAATGAAGGTTTAATAGACTTTATCTTGAAAGTGTTATAATTGTTTACTTGCTACTTACTTCAGCAAATTCGGCGTCAGTGCCCCGAATAAAACTGTTGTATTTAAAGTAGAATTGTTTTATTTTGGCTCCCACAATACTTTTATTTCTCGGGTACTTCACATTCATTGCTGTACGCGCTAGAGAACTAGGACTAACATCGTACAAGAACAAAATTGGTCGCGTACTAGGAAGAACTAAAATGGGAAATAATGAGAAATACTCAAACGGCTACTTACATACAATCATAAATTTTTCAACAACATCCGAACAAATAAAAGTTCTTATTTCCATCACTACAAATCAAGAACGGTTCAAAGTTCAATTTATGTTCCAACCTATATTCTGGCTTTCCAGAATTAAAACTTAAAATAGTTGAAAAGGATAATAAGAAATAGTCCGTTTTAAGAACACGAGGTATACATTATGTATGTGTGGTTCACGTTCAAGTTTTTAGAAGTTACGAATTTAAAATGAAAGCTAAACAGCAAATTAAAATTTCTGAGATTCTCTATTTCAGAGGTACTATTGAAGAGGTATTTAAAATATTTATCGGTAAATACTGTTTAAGACTATTAAAAAAACAATTAAATGCATTCAATGAAAGAAGTTTTGTATACGTATAATACAAAATAATTTTCTAAAAAATATTTTACATTTTCGAACAAGACCTTTGGGTGTATGAAAAAAGCCGTACAGAAAACGCTGATAAGCCAATTTCGACAGACCATCGAAAATTCTCAGTTTTATTTCTTCAGTGTGTCCGAACACTGAACTTCGTCAGAAATCCGTACACTTTTTATCTCGCCTTTATTTCAATCCCGAAATTTGATCCATGTATCTGTTTTTTCAAGTCAATGCGTGTGCTTTAAAGTCATTTGACAACAATCATCAGAACGGCAACTCAGCTGTTTCAAATGTTATCGAAACATGCAAGATATATTTTAAATACGACAGAAAATCAATTTTTCATATGGGGGCCGATCTAGGTATATTTGCAATTAACATTTATTTAATTTGAAAAGTCTTAAAGAGCTCTATGATTTTACAAAACTTTGTTACTTGTTGTGACTTTGTTGTTTGACCAAGGTAGGTCTTAAAATAATGAAAAAACGTGAAACCTTAGTTGAATAACGTACATTTTCAAACGGGTCCTAGGAAATAATAAACTGGTTTTATTGTCAAATTTCAGCCTAATCTCAGCAAAGTAACGGTCTCCATTTGGATTAAACAAAACTTAAATAATGTTATAAACGTTGAGCATCATACTAAGGCCTTGGCCTTTATAGAAAGGCAAATGAAAAAAAAAACGATCTCAAAATAGCGAGTTTACGAATTTAATACACGTAATGACTTACGGGAGTTCAAATATTTACTCTCCTGCGAGTTCATTCCCACAATTACAGGAATTCGTTGAAAGTCCCCTTTCTGAAATGCCCTAAAACTGTCCTTAGTCAAAAATGCCTGATTGCTTTCTGGCTCAATCACTGGACCAAATGGTCCTCCATTATCGAACACTTCAATAAAATTCTGAAAAAAACAAGGTGCTATTCCATTTCGTCTATAAAAACTTTTTAAAGATTTACCAGTAAGTTTACTCTGATCATGTGCGAACTAGATTTAAGAAGATCTTGGCTTTGAAGAAACCTGATGAGCGTTGAAGAGCTATTAGTGGTTAATCCTAAGGCAACACCAAGATCAAACGCAACCTAGAAATAAAAATAAATTCAGCTTAGAAAACTAAATTAATCTATCTATTCCTCACTTTTCTAGCGTTTCGATGTAGCGCCCAAGGGCACAATGGTGTGCCACTTTCCATGATTGCAGCGTGAAACAAATTTCTGGATTGTCTGGATATTAGCATATATCCAATCATTGCTGCCCCTGCACTTTCACCAAAGACCGTAATTTTATTGCCATCACCACCGAATTTAATGATATTTTTTTTAACCCATTTCAGAGCTAAAACCACATCCTTCAACCCATAGTTGCCTGGAGCAATATTGTCTTGGGTACTTAAGAAACCTGGAGCATCAAAAATGTGTAAGAAGGTTTATGAAATTAATTGGAAGTCGATGAAGAAATTTAAAATAATTCACAGAATGGTGTAAATATGTGAAATAAATCCATTCTAATTTCAAAGGTCAGTTTTTTCAGAAAAGCCCCGGGTTTATCCATTTATATTTTTAGTTGAAAGTATTCTAATGGAAAATTAATTTATACAAAATATCCCACAAATAATTGAATATTTTCAAATTTTAATAACTTGTTTAAATTTCCTTGAATTACTCATCTCACTCCAAGCAATTGATGCTTATAAGTCTTCTACACCTAATCTAAGTAGTTATCTAAATACATACGCTTATACTTCTATCAAAACAGACTTCTACTTGAAACAGTTTATTTAATAAATTTTCTCCATTTGGAAACATTGCAAGAAAGCTCCAACTGGAGGCCTACAGTAGTGTTTATCTCACATATTTGTTTTTGTAATACGACAGTCGGGATCTAAAATAATTTTTGTTGAGTTATCTGAGCATTCCCGCTCTAAAGGGCCACTTGCACTTTTCTAGGAGGTGTGCTCGATTTGTATAACGCAATCTCAATAAAAAAATCTGCGGAAGTTATGATCTTGGCGGCTTTTCAGTGACCTTCTTATTCCATTCAAATTTGCTTGAACGGCAGGAGTGAAACTAAATAGCTCCAACGATCCAACAGGTACTCGCCAACACGCCGCCTGGCAAGCGTGGCATTTTCGAAGATATATAACTTCAAAACAAAAATACCTCAGGCAAACAGAACATTAGGTGGGAAGTGCTGGGAATTAGTGAAATTAGGAGAAAGGAAGCTGCAACGGAAATGAAATCAGGGCACCTTCGCTTCCAGAGAAACTCCGATGTGCATGCAGATCGGTGCATCGACAGAAGGAAAAAAAACATCTTGTTACCAAGACAAGGGCGGTCTGAGATAGAATCATCTATGCAGTTCTCAGGATTGACAGCAAACTCAGCATACAGATTACAGAAAGGTTCGCGCCCACCTCTAGTAAAAAACGAAATTGACGACGTCTGAGTCACAGACGCCTATGTTCGGATGTCGCAGTCTGATTCAGGCAGCAACCACCGAATGGTAAAATCAATAATCCAAATTGACACTCGGCTAGAGAGGAAACGCCAAATGGAAAAGAAAATTCTCCACAATATCGGAGCTTAAAGGGAAGGAAGAAGACTAATACGACCAACTGAGGAGCTACGGAAAACGGATTTTAACGCGTCCTCAACGAAAATCACCACAAACATCCGAACTGCAGTGAGAGTCGTATATGCGCTGCAGAAGTCAGCAATTACAAAAATCAGCCCAGAATCTGAGGTTTTGATCAGGGGGCGAAGGGAGTCAAGCAGAGACTTGCCGAGATATGCGGACTCGAATAGGTGAGTGAAAAAGGCCATTAGAATATTAGAATGCGCTGCGGACTCTCGAAGGGAAAAATTACAATACGTTAAATGAAAAACGACCAAAGAGAAGTAGTCACGGATAGGGGCAAAATCACAGAAATTTCTTCACATAGACGTTCTCATAGAAGATATTTATACATATCGGACTATTTGGTTTCTCCTATGGTGCCCGTTATGGAGAAGATTTTTTTGAAATTGTTGACTGTGAAACGAAATTTTGGTTAATGGATTTAAATTACACATTTATCTCAAAGCTATCTCTGATCTTCCTAACCAATCATCAGAAAAAAAAATATTCGCTCGGTCTCAGAATACCAGATTAATCTGATCGTTAGTATGTTTGAAGTCTAATACCTCCATTGAAAATCTTTATTGAAAAGGATACAAAAGGTATTATTTTTTTAATTTGAAATAACACAGAATGAACACCACATCATTCTGTAAATCAACCATTGCTTTACAGAAAATTATTCAGAATTATACAGATTTGTCTGCGTTCTTGCCTTTTCTTCGTATTCGATCATCCTTAAATTTTCAATTTACTTGGTGTCAAACTGTTATTATTCATATGCAAGGTGAGTTTTTTAAAGCGTTTCAAGGCTATATCTCAGAAACGGTTTCACATATCCTTATAACATTTTGGGAAACTCACAAATAGGTAGGAGGACGTATTTTACCAAGTGTTTTATTATTCTACTGAAGCGCCCCCTATGAGAGGTCAAGGCAATATTAAAATTTTAAGTGGAATGATGTATTTTTTATTGTTAAATTGAAAACGGCACGAGAAACTATGTATGTGTACAAATATGTATGCCAGTTGATCACTTAGTTCCGGAATTGTGACGTGCAACATACATTTAAAAAATCAATTTACTAAATTATGACCCCACTAATAGTATTCAACTATCTTTCAGGAGATATATTCAAAATGCCTGCTTTCAACTTCCAAAGACATCAGTCTTTTCTCCTCAGAATTTTGCACTCGCGGAAATATTTCAGGTGTCACTAACAAGCAGGCAAGGCGAATTCTCTCCTTCCTATCATCTGAGGTGGTGGGTGCAGTGGCCACCACATTATCTTTTATAAAACCCCACAAAAAAATCGAGGGGAGTCAAATCTGGATATCTCACAGGCCAGTTTCGGGTCTAGAACGCCGTCTTCTAAAACTCTTACTGCCAGATTTTCGTTTGTTGCAGTACATTTCCGTCTTAGCGTTTTTTCCCTTAAACCACCAGTGCGATCTCTGGTTTTTAACCTTTTAAACGCCAAGTGGGATTTTGGATTGATAGGAAATCTTTGCGCCCACCATAACGCAGCTTCTCTGTAATTATTTCTGCACTCTCCCAAAATTAACAACATGTCAACTTCCATATTAAAATTTTCTTTCATGTTTAATTACAATAACTTGAGGAAAAGAGCGTTAAAACATCTAAATTCTCAATTAACGCTTGCAGTTTACGCTTTGCTATGGATATAAATCACAAATTGGAAAACCACTGACTTAAACATGTTTAATTGTATTTATATTCAATAAAATGTAAATGATGTTTGTGTAACCAGATGAGTAAACCATGCAAAAAGTTGTTCACATACGTAGTTTTTCATGTAGAATAAAATTTAAGAATAAAAAAAAATAATTTTATTAAAATTTCAAACTTGCGTTTACCTCTCAAAGAGGGCGCTTGAGTAGAATAATTTAAAATATGTTAAAACATGTCCCTGATCTATCTATTACTTTCCAAAAATTTTTGAAATATATTACAAAACTGTTCCTGAGATATAGCCTTGTAACACTTTAAAAAACTCACTCTGTATAAATTTTGATATCTTTATCGCAACGCATAAGGTAATACAAATACAGTGTGTCCAGTTTTACTGATGAAAACTTTAGGTATGGTTAGGAAAACTTGAAGAAAAACAAAAGAAAGATATGCGTGTCTAGTTGTTAGGTCAGGCTTATGTGCAGAATCAAAAAATAAGAAATTCATGTTTACATTTTTGAATGTTAAGTTGATGATTGACTCATTAAATAAATATGAAATTCCAAAGAGGAAAATTGTAATCAAAGTTGCAATAGACGCTTTTGAGGATTTGATACAAAAAAGTTATGCGCTTAATTTAAATTGAATTTTTCCATACATTTACTTTAGTGGTGCATGACACACACGTATATACAATAGGTGCATGACAAATCTGGAAACGTAAAATAGTACGCAATGTGCACCATACAGAATACGTGTCCAGAAAACTGTAACGAATTATATATTTTTTATGGTAGTATACTGTTTATCCACCATCGCAAAAAAACACAATTCCTTTTACACTTCTACTCGTATATAATGCTTACCAAAAAAGCCGGTTCTATAATTAAATGTGACTATCAGCACACTTTCATTCATAAGGTAGTCTGGTCCGTAGAAACTGGCAGAACCTTCGCGAAAAAATCCTCCGTAAACCCATACCATGACTGGGAGAAGTTTCCTAATAGCATGAGGATTCTAAAATCAGTCGCTACAAAAATCTGCTTTATTATCTTTGACAATACCCATACTTGTGGAGTATATACGTTTAAATACAAACAATCTTCTTGACCAATAATTGTGTAAGTCATTTGACGCAATCTCATTTCTACACAGTTAGAACCGAACTGTGTGGCGTTTAGAATCCCAGTCCATTTCTTATAGGGAATTGGATCCTAAAAAATTTGAAACCTATGTTAATTGATTTTTATTTTCTGTCACAATTTGCTATAATTTTCTGTTCCTAATTTACCTTGATTCTGGTTGAATAATTTTACTCGACGGGATCATCGGTTTAGACTATTTTAAGCTTTAGAAAATTAAACTAAATTAATTCTGAATAAACTGATGACGCGAAATGTGAATCAATAATCGAATAATTAGTAGTAATAGTCCAAAGAAATACTTCGATAAATCGCATTAATTTCTTTGGACTTAGTCGAGCGGAGTCATTGCTTTTAATATTGTTTGATTAATTCGCATCTATTTGCAAATCTTAAAATGTTCGTTTGGAAATCATATGTATAAGCTGATAACATACATACATTCGATTAATATGCTAGTATATTAACGTAATTCTCAAAATTAACATTTTGATATATGTAGTTAGCCAATTGACCTCATTTGTCAAAATTTGTATCCTCATTTTCATATTACCTTAAATCGCAATTTGCCTAAAGGTGGAACAGCGTATGGAATTCCTTGAAAGTTGAAGTAAGTTTTACCATTTTTCATATATTTCTTATTTCCTTGTAGTATACCATTGTCTAATTTAATTTGGAGGTCATCCTAAAATAAAAACGTTGGTTTGATATCTTTTAAATAACAAAACTTCACATTTGTTTTTTTAACACCAGTAATCATTTCAAAAACAGAATGCGACCGATACGGATTTACAATAAATATCTGAAAATGAGATAGGAACGAATTTCCAGAAATAAATATCTATAATAAACCCTATGCTGATTGGTTTTAATGGAAACTGAAGGAAAACTCCATATTAGTAGAGTGCAAAGAATTTGGTCAAATATTGAACTTTAAAAGCTAGTTGGTTTGAACCAACAATACTAATAGATATAAGTTTTTTAGAAGTTTAATTAGTATTATTTAATTGATAATTTATTACAGAAACTTCCATGATACAAGATTGTAAACTATATTTTAAGCTAATAACTAACTTAGAACACAAGTAGAGGCATTCTAATTGTTTTTGTGACATGTTGTCGTGATAATCACGTCGATTTGACGTGATAAAGTTGGTAACTTAGACGTATAATAATCACATGTCGTTTTCACGTGACGTTCTGAGCTTTGCTATTTGCAGATAACCTTGTGCTAAAGATTTCCTGAGTTCTTTTTTGTGGACTATTTTGTTATACTGCGCTACACTCAGCTTAACTTACTTGTTTTGATGTGCAGAAAGAACATTTCTTTAACGGCATAAGACACTAAAGGTATAGCTGCTTTCTCTTTGTGTCTCGAAGAAAAAGCACAAAATTTCTGAATCCGGCCCATAACTTCACTCGAAAGAAAAAATCGGCTTCTTAAGTGAAGAAAAACTCACTTTATTGGAAAATTTCTGAGCGTTTTCAGTATTTTTCCAGTTACTCAAGGGAAGCAATTGCCCAATGGAAAAATGTAAAGAAAAACCAACATTTCTCAAGCCTGCCCAGAATATGACTCGAAACAGACAGTCTGCGGCTTTAAATCAGGAGAACTTAAACCAATGGAATGCGGTTCATAGCATCACTCGGAAGAGAAAAACGGCTGCTTTAAGTGAAGAGAAACTCACTTGATCAGGATATTTCTGGGAGTTCCCGGGTTGTTTTTAGTTACTAAGGGGAAGCGATTGGACAGTGTTATAGATAGACGGATTAAACAAAAAATTGTCACGGAAGAACCAAATATGTCTCAAGCCCGCCCAGAATATCACTCGAAAGAAAAATCTGCTGCTTTCAATGCGGAAAACCTCACTCCAATGCGAACGTTTTGAGAGTTTTTTGTGAAGCGATTGGTCGTAGGATAATACGTATTTTTCAAAACCAAGGAAAAACCAAACATTGCTGAATGCGGCCTATCACACCACTCGAAAGATAAAGTCGGCTTCTTTAAGTGGGAAAAAATCACTTTATTAAGGAACTTGTGGAAGTTTCCAGTTACAAGCAATTGACGTTGTTAAGGAAAAACCAAAAGTTTTTCAAGCCTGCCCAGAATATCACTTTAATAGCTGTTGGCGCGGATAGAACATTTCTGAACGTGCCAGTTCGGCGTCCTATCATTTATTTTTGTTCTGGTTTTTTGGTGTGTAACAATGAAAAACTGAAGTTGTCAATCTAGTAATAATGAATAATAAAAAATTAATAAATCAGTAATCATCCAATCAATAATCCATAAAAAACGAAATAAAAAGGCAAGCAGTAATCCTCAGCGCACTTAAGCACAAAGGTGTGCAATACAATAGCAAATTTTGGAGAGTTTTCAAACACTAAATAAAATATCACTAGAATGAGAAAATCGGCGGCTTCAAGGAGGTAAACTTAAATTTAATAGCACATTTCTGAGAACTTACAGTATTTTTTCAGTTACTACGGATTTTTTTCGGATACGAGGAGCTAGATTAATCTCATGTGATCATCGTTTTCTTTTAAGTTCCAGTTTCTTGACCGATATCGAATAATTGAAAGATGCTTCTCGGTCTAGTTGACCTAATTCCCAAGAAAGTCACACATTTTTAAATCTTTTCCTTTTGACTTTTTTCACTCTTCTAATTACTGGTGTCTCCAATAACATCATGAGCTTTAGAAAGTCCATAGAAAATACGACCCTTACTGTCTGTTTGTCCATTTACTACCACTAATTTTTCCAGTCTAAAGTTTCACACTGAAACTATGATTACAGACATTCTAATTGGGAATATTTCAGTAATTCAAAGCTAATTTAAATCATCTCTTGTTAACTGTTTTGGCTATTTTTTGACTCGATATATTGCACATACACAATGTAAGTGAGTTAATAATTAAAGGAACAAATAAAAACTCGAATCATACAAAAACAAGTTTCAAGTACATTTGCAAGTCCCCGTAATTCGGTTTAATGGCTCCATTTCAATTAACACATGGAAATACACGAAAAGCAATGGACATTTATTATAAGAGCCCAAAATAAAATAATATGTACGATATTTTATTGGAGAAATCAATGATCAAAATATGTGTCAATCATCTAAATTAAATTGGTTTATTTCATCATGATTCTACTGTATTTATTCCTGTCTTTAATTTTGTTCAAAATTGGAGAACATGCTTCAACACTTTATTGCTTATTAAAAAATTAATAATTATCAAAATACTTCTTTCTCAATGAAGTAGAACGCGTGAATTGAACTATCTACGGTATCTATATAATCAATTTAATAATTAAGTAAAATTCAAGATAATTGCAGGCTTTTCATTTTAATTACCTATAAATATTGCTGTACGTGACCAGAATCGTAATTGATGCATTTGCAAACATTTTTAGACTCTAGCCATTTATAAATATTTTTGTATTTTAAAGCCAAAAGTTAAAGTTTAAAGCCGAATTTTTGATTATTCTACACAGTTTGAGCCAATTTTTGGCAGTAGTAATAAAACAATTGAGAACAGCCCTACTGGCTTTTAAGCTGAGAAGGTAAATATAATATTCTGCCTTGAATTATTTCCAGGTCTGCATCAAGAATTGAACAAATACCGCATATGGTTTTTTTAGACTTTAGAAGCCACAAGAAAACTGATAGAACACCAATTTGTAGCTCTTATTCGTTGAATATGTCTGGGTCTCAGTTGCAGCCAGTTCTTTCATAAATTTCCTAGTCTGAGAGAATTTTAAGAACTTACAAAGTGTTTTATAATAATTTTTCTCGTATTAGTTATTAAGCTCCAGGATCCTGTTAAGGGATGAAGAGGACGAAAAATGCAAAATTTTTCAACTTCCTGCAACTACTTGTACAAATAGTAGTTCAAAATAGCATTTTTTGTCCACATCTGTCCAGAAAACCGTGTGTGGAGGATTGTAGAGAATTCATTTGCACTTTTACTAAAGTATTTTTCATTGAAACGGAAAATGGAATTCTTAGAACGATTCACATTTAAAGATCCGTCTTGCTTGATAGATAATTGTGCCCAATTTTAAAGAATACAATATATAACTAATATAAACAGATATTTAACTTGTAGTTAAGCAATTCGTTGATTTTTGTTGTTTTGCAATGAATACCGTAAAGCAGAATTAATAATAACAAATATTTGGAAGCAAAAGGCAAGAATAAAATAAACTGACAACAATGCAGTGCCCTGCATTTTCCGATTCATTTTTCTGCCCTGATTCCATTAAATTTTAATTTAATCTTTTGATCTATAATACAAAATTATTTAATTCCCAAATAGGTTTTGAAAATAAAACTATGACAAAACTTAACTACTATGATACATGTAAAATGGAAAGAAAACCGCAAAAATCATAAGAAATAATGCTAATAGATCTCGGGAGTAGGCCAATAGATACATAAACTTGGTTCTTACCATCTATAGAAATAAAGCATTATTCTAAAATGCTATGCTTCATTCTTACTAGTAGTTCATTCTTATTGAGAAACAACACAAGATTCCTCTAGAAATACAATTTTTTTTTATAAATATGAATGACTCGAAAATCTTAAACGAAGTACTGGAAGATGGAAAGAGATCAGTGAACTTTAAAAAAATAAATATGATAATGTCAACAAAGAATAAATGTAATTTTTTTAAAATTTTTAAATATAATATGCAATATAAATGTTTGATTGTTGAGTTTCGTACAAACAATTATTGTATTAGTATTTAACTTTCCTTATTCTTAAATTCCAAAATACTTTCAACTGTGCATCCGATGTAGTTACAAACATAAAATATCTAATTTTATACCTCTCGGGTAAATGCGAACTGACAAGTTAAAGAAAAGCAATTGACGAATTATCATTTAAAATAATTTTAATATAACTCGTAATCGCTGACTTACCGGCACTATATCCAAAGCAAGCAAGCACGGGAAACTATGAATCAGAACAAGGAATAAACTCATTTTTTTAACTCCGAACATTATTAATAAAAAAGTATTGTTATTCTGATATTATTTATCCGATTAAAGATGCTTCAACTGATCGTGAACATACACGTGCTGAAGGCGATTGCAACACTGACTCGTTTACAAATAATAACTTCTACTTGCAAGAATTTAGCTTGGTATTGACCGTGACTACCTCTCAAGGAAGTTTTGACATCATTTGAAAATTGCTGGCAAATTTATTTAAATTTCGATGAGTATCAGTAATGTGACACTGTTATTGGCGGGAATCAATGCACATCAAGCGCTAACGCCAGACATACTGGTTTGTGAAAAAATTGAGCCGAAAGTTCTTATTTACTTGTAGAGGATTATACAGTTTAAAAAATCTAATTGTTTCTTGATGGTAGATTATTGGATTACTCCTTCTGATGGCAAATTTGGGTCGCAAAATGAATACAGGATGGTTTAAAGTTGGCGTAACCCATATTAAGGGGTTATTGAGTTTCACTTTTTCATAAAATTGAATTTCAACTTTGTTACTAAGTATTATTTTGAAATGGTCCCTTGTTTGATTGGTAGCTTATTGAAATACTTAAGCAGTCGAAAAAAAATTACCATCTTTACTTCAAATTATGAACATTTTTTACATGAAAAAGTACTTTTTTGTTAAAAATTCAAAGTACAAAAATCGATATGTACACCTATGTCGAATATGAGGATAGGCTATTAGTTATGCGGAAATGCCACAGTAACATAGCAGAAACTGTAAGAACTTACATTAACAAAGGGCTAGATACACTGGATGATTGGCTCCAGGATTTAAGGCAGGTAGTGGACTACCAAGAAGTACTCGGGTTTAGACATAGAGGAACAGGTATTGGAGATAAATGCAGCAGAGCCTTCTAGAAGTATCGGAGCATTGCACAACAACTGAAAAATTTCCAGGCAACTATGCACTTGAATTAGATACGAAGAGCTATATCCCTACCATTGTACTACTGTATATATTAAATTATACAGTACGGAAGGGCACATTAAATATCTGGTCTGCCGCTTGTCAGCCCAAAGTTCAATTTGTGCTTGTGTATGCCAGGAAACATCGGCACAAATTGAGCACGAGTTTCTCAAGCGAAAACGAGAGGCTGCTCAAAATATGAGCCCAGTATGCTGCAAAGAGTGCACAATAAAATGAGTAGACGAGCACAATCGCAGTGTCGGTAAGCGAGTAGAACACCTGGTCCGAGTTGTCCACTTTTGACACACACAGATTCATATATAAGAACTTGGCTTCGCTGCCAATCACCACCATGTTTAACGTTACTTTTCATGGCAGGCATTTTTGACATTCCTTACGACGTGTCACCATAAATTAGTACATTGCATTCTAACATCACTCGATTCTTTTATCAATGGTTACTTCAGCTTTTGATATTTAAGTAGGAAGTGTTGGTGTTTAAGTTTTTACTTGTGATAGAGCGTGAACTGGCTTTGAACCAAGAAGTGAGTGCTGAACTTTTGTTACATTATTAAGCGGGTTATCGTCCAGACTACCCCAGATCAGAATTTTACTCTTATGAGCACCTCTGTTGTGCTGGATCCATCCGAATGTTCAGAAAGTTATCATTTGCAATGTAGGTTCAGAATAACTTCCTCACGTAACCAAATAGGCGATAATGGTGGCACTAGGACAGATAAAGAACCCTAACTCGCCTGGTGAAGACAGACTAAACCGTGACAGGTTAAAAATAGGGAGATACTACATAAAACAAATTCTACAGGTGTTGTTTAATAAATCTTCATCTGAAGGCAACATTCCTGAAGCATAGCACAACGCACAACGGGGCTGTTCTGCTTTTTAAAATTGACGACATCTCGGATATTGGAAATTATCGACCTTCTGTCCCACCTTTATAAACAAAGATCCTTATAAACTGCCTAACAAGTTAGTTAGTTGATATCAACCAGTGGAGCAGGCTGGATTTCTAAAGGAACACAGCACTATGGATAACTTGAATACCATTCAAATGTTAATAGAGAAATCAACGGAATATAATATTTCAATTCACTTCGCCTTTATAGACTTCCATAAGGCACTTGATTCCTTTGAAACATGGGCGGTTCTGTGTGCGATGAATAAAGCAATGATTGACTCGATATATTCTATATCTCTTCTTAAGAATGTATACAGGAGCGCTACTTTCTGTGTGAAAATTACGGAAGACTTGATAACTAAAAAAGTTTACCAGGATGATCCTATATCCCAAAACTTTTCACGTTGGCCTTGGAAGACTTTTTAGAAAGCTACCGTGGGAAAATAAAAGTGTAATCGTTGATGATACCTTTTTAAACCATTTACGCTTCGCCAATGACATAGTGTTTATTAATTCAAATATTCAGGAGCTATAGAACATGCTAGAACAACTAAATAAGAATAACAGGCAAAACTTTAGATTTTGACGAATATACAGGGTGTCAATTTGAATGGGTTGGGCATGATGCCAGACTAGGTGCGGACAGATGGGTATAAAGGCTTGTACACTGGAGACCACCGGAAACAAGTAGGAGTGTCTACAGACCACAGATAATTTTGACGATGACAACGATGGTTGGATGATGCTAAAAAATAGCAGGAGGAAGATGGTACCGTACAGCGAAAGACAGAACAGCTTGGAAACAAATGAAAAAGGCCTTTGTTCAGGAGTGGACAGATAATGGCTGTCAAAGAAGCATAAGTAGAAAAGCGCCTCCACAAGAGCTCTAAACACCATAAGGAAGATTGTTTGCTGAACATATGTCTTAAAGTCTTATGTCACATAGTTGGCCTTACCTATAGTTAGAGTGAGCTGAAATGTTGGTAATCAACCTACTATCCGAATAAGTCCCTGCTTTTCCAATAGTCTTCAATCGAATGACCTCGCGGGATCCAGGTAAACCAGTCAACTTATGATATGAATTTGAAAGTTTTTTTCACTCATCTTTGTCAAGATCGTGTTCCGACGATCTCACAGGCAAAAATCGCACAAAATTCCAATTAAGGTATTGTTACAAACTAGAATCTATTTTGTAAAGCGTTTCATAATGAATCAGTGTTAACGATAAAAAAATTATGTAATCATTTTAAACCAACTTGCATTAATATGCATCTACGTGTCGTTTTTCTCAATTAAAAACAATATTGAAAGTGTCAGTTTCAGTGTTACGTGACCTGTAAAATGCCACAGAGAAGATTCATTTTTGTATTTGATATAAATTTTTAATAAAACTCAATTTGTATATAAGATTTTCGTATTTCAGTGGAGGGACGTCAATCTCTAAGACTCAGTTTTTAATTTTTCTCAAAATTTAATTAAATTTGTAGTAACTTACCGGAACCATTTGTAATTTAATTACAATTTACAATTGAAACGTAAAACTCTGAAATAGTCATAGTATAGTGGAACCAATTTACTTCATATCTGTAAATTAGTCTGGTTGAAAATTGGGATTTTAAAAGATTGCATTAGAAACAAAATTGCGTAAGAATTCAAGAATTCAGCATATTCTGCACCTCGCAATTGACTATACAAAAATCTGTAGCAAATGGTCACACATAAAAAATGCCAAGTTGCCATCACCAACGGTAATAATAAACTACCATTCATATCACAAAATCGAGAACTGGAGAAATATGAAATTCCCTACGTGTTAGCCATTCGTCTGAAGTGTTGTATCAATAATCAACCAATAAAAACATCTTAAAACAATTATTGTCGAATTGCGTGTTTTCGAAACTTATCGCCTTTGAGACTGTATCGTGCATATGTTCTTTGAGCAGAAATATAATAGCCTTTACAGACTGATGAAAATGTCCTTTCTCCATGGCAAATGTCTGTGAAATTGTTGGTAATGCTATTCAGAAAAGACTAAGTATATTAACTATTAGTAGGCAGTACTTGCTCAGCCATAAATTTTTTGATGATTCATGGTTCTTTCAATGAATGTATGTACTATCGTCAAGCTTCTGCCGTACCATAGTTTGTGAATTCCATCCCTTGGTTTGTTAATTCTACCATAAGCGCTTGTGGTGTAGTAGATCGCAAAGTCTTGAGTTTGGATAAACATCTCAAATATGTTATTTTCCATAATTTGCTGCACTAAACATTTGCGGAGAAGTTTGGTTTGTCCACACTTGCCTTTTTACTATCTTAGTGAACAATTGTTGGTGCAGTTTATCCAAAAGAAATAAATTAAATAATTTGGTATCGATTAGGTTAGCTAAGAAATCAGATTTTTTGCTGATATTCTCATCAAAACATTCACAAGAGTTACACTCGTTTCGAATTTTTTTCGAAATTAAGTGAAAGCCCGAGAAAGAGAGATTTTTTCAAAAATTATTAATGGAATAGTTAAATAGTTTGAGCAACAAACATTATCGGTCTGGGGATATCGTGTCAAACTTACTGATTAAAACATAGTTTATTTCAAATTAGGAGATTGCACTGTATAATCGTACGTAGATTCAAATTGAGAATTGCCTTGAAACAAATAATTTCGTAAGCTTTAAATATAAAAACCTTGTTCTAAATTAATTACCTAATAATTAGCTTAGCAACATACATCAGCTGCAATGCCGACACATACCATGGCTAAAGGCAATATTACGCGGTTCATCCAGAGGGAATCAGTTAAGAAATTGTTACTGTTGCGTGATAAATTGAAAAATAATACCCGATCATGATTTTCTAGTTCATCTTTAACGGGTTCAAGATCACTTTCAATCTAGTAATGGTCAAATATGGTAGTAAAGCTTTAATTATGTAGATCACTGATCAGCCGGTTGATAATGGTTGGTGCATATTTATGCAGGTCAGTTGAACGAACTATTTATAAACAGTTTTTCAAGGATTGGAATTTAAGTTCAGCATGCGTTGAATATGGAGCAATAATGAATTTTCTGCATATTACCTGTTAAAATTTGAATATATCTTCCTTCAGTTCATTGTACGACTATGACAATTTAAGTGATTTTTTTCCACCTGGCATGGTAAAATACTATAGTTGTGTTACAATTTGTTTCCTAAAAATAGTAATTAGTAAAGATATTGAAGATAGAATTCTAAAATAATACTTAAACAAACTTATAAAAATAATGAAAACTTTTCAGGTCATTTGACGACTGATTGAACTGTTGCTGAAGTGAGTAATTACATTTTGTTTTTAGCTGTTT